CAATCTATTTAATTTATTACATACCATATGAATAAATAAATTATTACAGACATTTTTATAAAACAACCAACACAACAAACACAATGGTCATTGGATAGTTTATGTGCATCATACATATCAACATACACATTAAACAACCTTTGTTTTTCTATGACAACTTTAAATGACAAAAGATGCATAAAAACTTTTGTCATATAAAATAACAATTATAAAGTTGTCATAGAAAATATGTATGAACATGTTTTTATACAAAACCAAGTTATCCATATTCTCCAAAAACTAAGATTTCCAAAAATAAAAAAATCTAACCAAAATTTGGAAGGTGGCTCTTGATACCCGTTGTTGGGTTTTTATTAAAAAACTAGTTTCAAAAATAAGAAATTTAGCAACGGAAGACTTGATCATTTTTGAATAACATAAACAAGTTGAACCCACCAAGGATCATCTTGCAAGTTGTAGAAAGATTGAACACCAACCAAAGAAGAAGATGAAGAAATAACAACCTTTGTAGTTCATAAGCAATATGAACTTCAAGAAAGCATAAGAATAAACAAGTAATCTTCTAAATAATAAACAAATGGAGAGAGTATGCACACTCTCTCCATGTTACGATTTTCGCACTCTAAGAAGAACAAAATGAAAGCCTTTGATGCTAGTATTTAAAGTAAGAACAAAGTTCATAAGTTTTTAACCATATAGCACTTTATCACTTTAGAAAAACATGTCCCCCATGCTTGTAAGACTAGCCATGCTTTTCATTAAGATATTCAAAAAGACATACCTTATTTTGTATTGCTTAATTTCGAAATAAGGACAAAGAAGAAGACAAACTTTATAAATTTTATAAGGTAGTTTATAAAATATAAACTTTAACTTTTTGGTAAAAGACAAAAACATTTATCTAGTCCAAAAATGTTGTGCGTGACTTATTAATTCATACCATATGAATTATATATAATGTTACTTGCTAATTAAAATCATTATTTCCTAGAAATAAATAATTTCCAATTTTAATTATAAGATTTATTGAATATTTATTAAACTCAATTTCTAATAAATAATCAATTATATCAAGTTGTTGTTAGTGTGACCATTTAGTATCATATGTTAATTAGCAATATCACTTTAATATGGTTCTTGAGGATACAAGATCCTTCAGTGTAGATGTTAATTTTCATATGTTGTTTTGCTCCAAAAGTTTGCCCACAAAGGTTCTCCAACCCTCCAAAAAGTCTTGAGTATTATGTTACAAAGGATCTCTAAACCTTGTAAGTTTTGTAAAAACAATCATTTTCAGCATGTTTCTTTGCGGATTTGTTCCCTCCTAAAACTAAAATGAATAAATTGCCCTCTTAGTATTTTTTATACTTTTATCTATTTAATTTAGAGTTTTATTCATTAAGAAAATATGACCCACACAAACACATACACACTCTTTTCTCTCTCTCTATGTCTCTCTCTCACACACACACATACACACACATGTTAAATACTTCCGATCTCTCAGTTATTGGAGCCGATATCCTCGTCGGAGTAAAGAAATACAAAAGACATACACATTGCATGTGTATGTGTTGGTGCGATACCGAGAGGAACAGGTGGTAAAAGCGATGGATCCGACAAGGAACAACCATCCACCACCATTCAACATCATACTCTGACATCTTTGTCAACGTCATCACCACCAGAGGCGGAGTCAAGATTTGAGGATAAGGGGGCTTAATTGTGCCCGACAAAGGTCTTGGATGATAGTGAAAAAATGATAAATAAGAAATTATATAAATAGGAGTTACATGCTATATTGGCTAATTGAAACCAGGTCACGAATGAAAGATAAAATAGTTACTTACTTTACCAGTTAATTGGCAATTAAAAGAGATATGAATAAAACAAATTAAAATAAATGGAAATAAATCAATAATTAAAATAAATAGGGTGATGTCGATGAAATTCTAGTTTTGTGCCTTAATTTTAGTCTATTAGTCTAGCCTCATTACTTTCCTATATAATAATTGAATTTTTAAAAAGATATTGGGAGGGCCTTGGCATCACAAAAAACAGACGGTTGGCATTTAAATAAATCATAGGCTCGTTGTTTGTATATATTATACTTTGATGTTTTAAAGGAGATTGAGGGGGGCAAAGCATCCGACAGTCCCCCCCCCCCCCCCTACTATCTCCGCCCATGATCACCACCATCAATTTCTCTACCTTTATGTTTCTCTCTAACGAATATCCACCACCGATATCTTGGAGACAACAAAACGCCTCCATTCTTTCTCCTTCTTTAATCTCTGGTAAAACCGTAGCTACCATCCTTCTAGACCTCTAGTGAAACTTTAGCCACCGTCGTCTTTCCAGATCTCTAGAAGTGGCTGTCGGGCCTGTTTTTCGACGAGGTTTTGGGTGGTTTCTTTAGGAATTTTACATCGAGAATTAAGGGATTCAACCAATGTTGATCTCATATGTAATGGTTGGCCGAAAGTGAACTCCGACGAGATAGGTGTGGCGACACACGACGACGATGGTGGCCGATTGAGGAACTGGCCATGTGGGCTTGGATCGAACCTCTTAGTGGTTCGATCGATGGTGATAGTATCAAGTTTGGTTGGCTTGAAGGTGGTCATGTGATTGTTTCTTGTTTCCCGGTGTCAGTTTATTGTTTTTCGGTGAGAGTATATCTTGTAAGAAGAATGGAGTTAGAAAGAAAGAGAAGGAGGGAGATTGTGTATGTGTGTGTATGTATGTATGTATGTATGTATGTATGTATGAGAGAGAGAGGGATGACTCATTTTCTTTTTAGTTATTTGAAAATAAAATCAAAAAGAAATTAAACAAGGGCAATTTAGTAATTTCATTTTTGGAAGGGACCAAACTCACAAACAAACATGTTGAAAATGACCATTTTTACAAACTTACGAGGTTTGGACTGAATCACGGGAAAATGCAAACCATAGGAACCATTTTTGCAGTTTACTCTAAATAATATCTTATGTGTATAAATTAATTTTTTTAATTAAAGAATAACCTCAAGAATGAAAATATAATTTAAATTTGGAAATGTCATTGTAATATAATGTAACTAATGACTTAAAAGGGTAATATATTTTTAAATTTGTACACATTCAGTCACTGAGTTTTTTATTCGTCCACATTTACCCCTTCAAGTTGTTAAACTGTACACATTCAGTCCTTATGACCAGCTATTCCAGGTTAGCAGGTAAATATGACTTAATAGGGTAATATATTTCTCACTTTGTACACATTTAGTCCTTAATATTTTTGTACACATTTAGTCCGTAATATTTTTTTTTTGCAAAATAAGTCATTTTTGTTTTTGTACTCATTTAGTACTTATGAATGATTTCTTAAGGTTTTTCTTAGTACATCTTATGTGATACAATCATTAATGAGGTGTTTGGGGAGTTTGATGCTTATGTCCATCGTGATCTCGACTACTTGGTTGCTTAGGTCATGTGTTTTGAACGTCATAACTTCTTCATACGATCTCAGATTTTAACGATCTTTATATCGATGCGTTCGTATTTTAGTCTACTACAACTTTCTTTTAGATTATTCTCATTAAAAAGTAATATATTTTACTATTTTTACTTACGATCTTTATATCTATACGTTTTTTATAAATGCATGTATGAATGTTTTTTTTATAAAATCGTAAGTAAAAATATATTACATTTTAACGAGAGTAATCTTAATGAAAGTTGTAGTAGATTAAAAAAACGAACATGTGGATATAAAGATCATTAAAATCTGATATCGTATAAAGAAGTTACGACGTTCAGAACACAAGACCTACGCAACCAAGCAGTCGAGATCGCAATGGACATAAACATCAACAACCCGAAACACCTCATCAATGATTGTCCCACTTAAGATTTCGTGAGAAAAACCTAAAAAAATCATTCATAAGTACTGATGTTTATGTCCATCGCGATCTCGACTGTTTGGTTGCGTAGGTCTTGTAGTTTCGTTTAGGTCTTGTGTTCTGAACGTCGTAACTTCTTCGTACGATATCAGATTTTAACGATCTTTATATCTACGTGTTCATTTTTTGAGTCTACTACAACTTTCGTTAAGATTACTCCAGTTAAAATGTAATATATTTTTACTTACGATTTTATAAAAAAAAAACATTCATACATGCATTTATAAAAAACGTATGGATATAAAGATCGTAAGTAAATATATATTACTTTTTAACAGGAGTAATATAAACGAAAGTTGTATTAGACTAAAACATGAACGTATGGATGTAAAGATCATTAAAATATGAGATCGTATAAAGAAGTTATGACGTTCAGAACACATGACCTAAGCAACCAAGTAATCGAGATAGCGATAAACATAAGTATCAAAAGCCCCAAACACCTCATTAACGATTGTCCCATTTAAGATGTCGTGAGAAAAACCTAAAGAAATCATTCATATAAGTACTGAATGACTACAAAAACAAAAATGAATTATTTTGCAACAAAAAAAATATTAAGAACTAAATGTGTACAAAATGAGAAATATATTACCCTATTAAGTCATTTTTACAGCTAACCTGGAGTAGCTGGTCATAATGACAGAATGTTTACAGTTAACAAGTTGAAGGGGTAAATGTGGACGAAAAAAAACTCAGTGACCAAATGTGTACAAATCGAAAAATATATTACCCCTTTAAGTCATTATCCCATCCCGAAATAAACATTAAAGAATATGAACATTTTTAAAACTTATCATTATTAAATCTAAGAAAAGGATCAACCAACGTTGTTTTGACGATTACACATGCTCGATTGCATATCTACAGTTTTCGTAGAATGCTAAACGTATTTTGCCAAACAATAATAAAAGTTTAAATGACATTCCACCCTCTAAGCACCCAATGGGCTCTCCACGCTCACCCTACCCAACCCATGATACCAAATGACGAATCTACCCTCTAAAAGATCTCGATTCTCAACTAGGAGATTCTTACTACACTCTTCACTTCACTACTGAATAATGTCTGCAGAAGCCAAAATAGGCTGATTCGCATAAAAACTACTCAGTGAGTTAACCATGAACTCCTCGATCAACTCAGTGCCACCCATGCCATACTGCTCCTCCACAAACCCACAACCGGCGTCGATAGGTTGATTCATGAGCGCCATGATCTGATTAAGCGACTCCAACCTGTGGCTGAGCTCCGCCACCTGAGCCCTTAACACCGAGTTCTCAGTCTCCACGCTCGTATAATGCTGAATGGTGGTGCTAACATTAGCTATAACCAAACTATTATCCTTTCTGAGTTGACTCAGCTGAATCATGAGATCCTCCAGGTGCTTTTGCCTCCTCATTCTCGACCTCCTTGCTGATTCCCGATTTGAAACCATTCTTTTCCTCTTCCTCTGATCCATTAATTGCTGAATATCTTCGTCTGAACCCGATATCTGAAGCGGGTATGAACCACCTGATGACGTTGTCACTGTACCACTGGAGGAAGCCATGAAAATACAGTAACAAAATCTCTTACTTGGAGATTTAGAGAGTGAATTCGAAGAAAATAAGCAGGACCCAGATGGTATTAAAGCTTTAATTTTATTATTATTCGGATAGATATAAGATTCTGTATAGATTTAGATCTAATTAGGAGTGGTTTACAGTTATAGCAGAAAACAGGGCAAAAATCATGTAACGTAATAGAACCAGTAGAGGAAGACAACTGAGAACGATTGAACTAAATGGGTCCTGCGCCAGTAAGTGAAATTGATCATAAACTCAAAACGAAACACTTCACTTAGAATTTGAGACATGTATTTCAAACATGAAGAACAATTGGTTTTGGTTGAACATTAATGCCGATTCTTTTTGGAGAAAAGACACCCAGAAGAAATAAGATTATAAAAAATGACTAAAACCAGGTGTTTTGCTGCAGATTATTGTGAAAAAACAGATGAAAATTTGAAGGTTCTGAAGATGATTGAGGAAGAGCAATGGTAGAACCTTGAATTTGAAAACAGAAAACAGAGTAAATTTTCTGTGGAAAATAAGCTTAAAAACTAATGCAGGAACATGAACAGAATATAGATCTTAAGCATCTGGAGAAGAGGTGGAAGAGAAGGGGAAGATGGTATGGAGGGATTGTAGTTGGATTTATAGAAATTTTTTGCGGAACAAGTAGCAAAAAGGTGGTCTTGTGGAGATTTTTTTACATTAAATTTAGTTACAACTCTTTGAAAAATGAAGTATATTTAATCCATAAAAAGTGACAAATTGTTAAGTATTTAAAATAATACAAAGTAAATGATTTTAAAATACTACTAAGAAATTGATTTTAAATACATTAAAGTTATTTATTTGCTTACTATTCTTACCATACAAGTCACTAAGTCATCTCATTGAATTTTATATATTTAATAGATTGTTATATTATTATTCTATTTCATATAATTTTATAAAATTCTTATATATCCTGAACTCTTAGGGTTCAATAAAACACATGTTGGAACCAAACCGAATTAGAACCAGTACCAATTGGGAACCGAAATGTAATTTGGTTCGGTTTATGGTTCCTCTATATTTATAAATTTGGTTTTTCGGTTAAGAAACCAAGTTCACCCTATTAAATTCTACAAAAGTTTAATGGAAAATATATTTTAAGCTATAAAAGTTTTTATTTTTTCGTTGAATAGTTCAATTGCCAATGCATTGTATCAATTAAACATCAATCTAACATCCCATTATCGTTGAGTTTAATCAATTAAACGTCAACTAGACATTTCATCTCGTTCAACTCTTCCATTAAATTATGCATTATAAATGGTCTCTATGTTATCATTTCAATCATCCAATATTCTCTTTATAGAAAATATAATATTGAATTGATATATAGTTTAATAATACTTTTTTCATCATAGATTAAATGTTTTAATTTATTTATAAGAAATTAAACTTACAAAATGTATAGTCGGGGACAGTTTTGCCAATGTTTTATGAGTTACGAACTTATGATAATAACTAACACGGAAATATGTAATACTTATAAAGATGAAAATGAGGGCAAGTATAGTATGAGTCATTGTGATCTTATTATCGTTTAGTTCAATCCAATTAATGTCACATTATTAAACTATGCATTGTAGATGCTCTAAGGCTATGTGATATACATTATACGCCACCACCATCCACCCTTCTGTCACCTCAAAATCATGACCAAAACACATCCTTAGGGTATGGTCATCACATGAAAGGAGAAGAAAGAGAGAAGAGAGATAGAACTCGTGTGGCATATAGTTTATATAAAGGTTGTAAACTCTATGTCATTTCAACCATCTAGTATTCTTTTCGTAAAAGTGCAATAATGATTTGATATAATGTAACGTCCCAAAAATGCTAGGTAAAAATTTTGATTTTAAACCCCAAAACCATACAATCATTTGTTCAAACCAACCAATGTATATAAAATTCTCAAAATATCATAGTATATCAAATAGATAGTGCGAAATAAATCTTTGTGGGATGCAATACGAGCAAGTCAGGCCCTTCCCTTTCAAACTAAAAGTACTTGAAACATTTTAAACATAACAGCGTAAGCACAAAACTTAGTGAGTTTCCCAAAAGACCACATACCATACATAACATAACGAGTCTATTTCAACTCCAAATGAACGGTATGGACCAAATCAAAGTCTTACCATCACTTCCTGTCATGGGCCAAATCATGGTCTTTACTTGTGCAAGTTCCAGGGCCAGATCCTGGTTTTCCATATAATTGCCAGGGGAAAAATCTTGATCTTTCATACAAGTGCTAGGGGCCAAACCCTGGTCTTTAATACAATTTTCACGGGTCAGGTCCTGGTCTTCCATGCAAGAGTCACAAAGACAAGTAGCATCATACATGGTATAGTGAGAAGACTCACCTCACAAACGCGGTCAACAGCTAACATGCCCACATAGTCGAGAAGCGAGTGTTATACACCTTTTAATGAATCATACAAGGCAAACTCTTAGTCTACCTTCTAAAACTAGCCATTTGACTAAAAGTCAAACCAGGTCAACAGTCAAAATCCAACTTCCAGATGATCTCCATGTCATGGCCATTCAACTTGATCACGATCAAATATGCTATTACGTCGTGTCAGAAAAGCTTCCACGTCGTGGCAGAGTCCGGAAAAAACCGTCCCGACATTTTCCATCGCCACGTTGCGGCACCCAACTCGCCACATCATGGCTACTGCACTAAGACAACTTAATGGATTGAGTCCTTAATCTGAAGAGTTCATTGATCGTACCTTCTAGAAAGCTTCTTGGGACCCTAATGGTCCATAAAAATCTAAACTTTATGAACATGCATGACCCATGCATTTCCTTCACCCAACTAGGTCAAAATGATGAGAAAAGGACCTAAAACCCATGCATGGCTCACAAAACCCATTCATTTTCTAGATCCAGAAGATATAGTGACCAAAGTACCAATGGGAGCCATAAAGTTGCAAACTTTATCTCATCTCATCACTTAAACTTCATATATATGGGACAATATATGTTAAGAAAGCTAGATCTACATGAAAGGAATCATAAAAATGGGAGCTTGAGGACTCACAACTATTTTAGAGGATGGAGGTAGAGAGTGGAAGGAACCCTATGATGGGATTTGATACAAAATATAAGTGTGTTTTTCAAAAAAACCGTACCGGAAGTATTATAAAAATAACAAGTTTATTTTTTAAGTTTATAACAAAACCAAACCATATATGATCCATTTATAGAGGTTAGAAGGATATTAAAAACAACCATATAGTGTTTTAGAATGACAAACTTTGGAGCCTTTGAACCCACTTAGTTTGGGGAGTTGATGAAGATGGAAAGATCAAAGAATATGATCTTCCCTACTTGTAACGACATAAATTTTCAACCCAAAATTTTCATTTTTGATTTCATAAAACACATGTCATTTTAAATAAACACTACTTAATAGTCAACAAAGTTTTCAAAACAACAAGTCAAATCCAGGATCCACAATCATAGCTCCATATCAAGAGTGTGTGTATAATCACGTCGGTGCCTTCCCGCGATCCTCGGAAGTACCTGAAACACATAACACATAACACGGTAAGCACGAATGCTTAGTGAGTTCCCCAAAATACCACATACAACACATTTTCCACTCGATGCTATACTCTGTAAGACCCTCGGGTCCATGTGTCTCAGCGGGACCCTCCAGTCCCGTAGCTCATTGGACCCTCTGGTCCGGTCTAGCTCGTTGGACCCTCCAGTCCGGTCTGATTGAGAACCCTCTGGCCTCATAGTTCGTTGGACCCTCCGGTTCGGTCTAAGCAACAAAAAATATAGCATACAATACATACCACACAATCATGCATAACTCAAGCAAGCACATAAGACCCTCTGGTCACACATAATTACCACTCTAAGTAAAGTATAGTGAGAAGACTCACCTCGTAAGATAGCTAGTAAAAGTCTCGTGCCCGAAATCCTCGGTCTAGCCTCCGCCTGTCACAAGTTAATATTTCTAATTAATATTCTACTCTTATCTCTGAAAAGTGGGTAGAAGACCACTCTACCCTTCCCTGACCTCTTTCACTCATTTTGACCAAACCCTAAAGTCAACAGAAGTCAACTCCAGTCAACGGTCCAACTTTAACCAGACTCGTCGAGTGCACTCGGGAGACTCGTCGAGTCCATTCGATTCATGTCAACCCCAGCAAGCTCCAACTCGACGAGCTAACCCCTAACTCGACGGGTCACCATCTGACTTAGTTCATCGGGACAAAACCCTGGGCTACTCGCCGAGTCAACGGCTCGAATCGGCGAGTCTATTCAGACTCTTTTGCATTCAGTCGATTTAGTGCAAGATACTTTCCCAAACTTCAAATCTATGCACTAAAGGCTCATTAATCACGTAAAGGTTCGACCTTTATGACCATGCATCACTCATCTATCTCTATTTGACAAAATAATCCTCATAATGGTGTCTTAGGCTCAATATTCTTATGTGACTACATAAAGCTGGGTTCTTGGGGCTCTCTGGACCTCTCAAGGTCCAGATTTGATGTCTAAGCCTCAAAGGGACTTCACATATTTCATAACTCAACTTAAAAGAGGGTAAAGAAACCCTAAATTCATGAGATCTAATAATCATACGAAAACGGGTATGAACTCATACCTTCAACAGTAGCCTTGAATGAAATAGTGAAAGATCTGAGCCCCTTCTAGACAGCTCAGCTTGAACCCTCTCCTTCTTCCTTGCAAGAATGCACCAAAATGAAGAAATTAGCTCCCTCTCTCTCTCTCTCTCTCTAAGCTCTCTGGATCGATTAGGGTCTCTCAAGGGAAAGTGTGGTCGTAAATGAAGGCCATAAGAGCCTTTAAATAGGCCACAAACCCGAGCAATTAGGGTTTTCCTCAGCAGCGCTGACTCGGCGAGTCAGATACCCGACTCGTCGAGTCCATTCATTAAACACGTCACCAAGTCGTGATCCCACTTGAC